CACAGAGGTCCGATCAGCTGGCTCTTCGTGTCCCACAGAGGTCCGATCAGCTGGCTCTTCGTGTCACACAGGTCTGATCAGCTGGCTCTAACTTGAAACCCATCCTAACATGAAGACACCCCCTCCCCCCATCATATCAGTTAAACAATCTTTAAATCTGCGTCCTGGACCCTCACAGAACCTGAACCCCCCACAGAAGACTCAAGGCAGAGCTGTGATTAGCCCAGACCCATTTGGACCGTGATATGTTCATCAGAGGAACATGGAGCTGCTACTCACATCCCTCGCTGCTGGTGAAGGCTCCCTGCGGAGACTCTGGGATCCCCTTCCACACCCCGATGGGTTTGGGGTACCCTGGATCTGCAGCTCGCTTCTCCTCGTTGTAGCGCCAGTACCGGTTCCCCTTGAAGAAGTACGTTTTCCCGACACCGTCCCAACGAAGCGCGGCGTCGACGCCGTCTTTGGGGAAGAAGCTGCCCAGCTCCACCAGACTCTGAGGGTAACCCGGCTCGGCCGTGACCTCCCTAAACACCCAGAACTTGTCCCCTAAAACCAGAGAAGCAAGTCGAGAGTTTTTATACAGCAATAAATGACAACGTGCTTCACAATAAAACACATGAAATAATTTAAATACAGAGGCAGCAAGAAAAAAATCCAATGATGGAAAAGAACAAAACAAATTAAACATAAAGACTTTTTATCAGAGTCCAAACAACGTGGAAATAGAGACTCAGTCCACAGTCGAGGTGCGGCAGGTGTCCCCCCGCTCCGCGTTTATGGACTTGGGAACCCTAACAGGTTCTGGTTAGAGGACCTGAAGCTTGAGGTGAAACTGAAACCAGTGGCTTTTTGGTTTACAATGATCTAAAGGACGTCTGCAGAAGAGAGACGACGCTGAAGGTTTCAAGTTCAGAACCTAAAGACAAAGTCCTGACCCGGTCCTTGGTTCTTTAGTTTCCTCCTCTCCTCTTTAAAGGGATCAACATATTTTCAAACAACGCTGCGTCCACACGTCCCTCACTCATGGATCCACCTCTGGCTGGTCCAGGAACCCGTCAGCTCCAGAACCAAACCATTGTTCAGGTTAAAGGATCAGTTTAGATCAATCTGTGGTTTCCTGTTTTTACCTTTGAAGAAGACGAGTTTCCCATCAGACCTCTGGTAGGCGGCGTCTATGCGAGGAGGCAGACCTCTCCAGAAATGATCGATCTGCATGGGGTACCCCTCCTGGACCTTGTTGTTCCTCAGACGCCAAAACCAGCGGTCCTGGAACACAACGGGTCAACAATCAGACTGCCTGTAGAACCAAAGTAAACCTGCAGCAGGAAAACTACACCAGAGGGAGACAGATAGAGACAGCTGGACACAGACGGAGACAGCTGGACACAGAAGGAGACAGCTGGACACAGAAGGAGACAGATGGAGACAGTAGGAGACAGCTGGACACAGAAGGAGACAGATGGAGACAAAAGAGCCAGATGGAGACAGAAGGAGACAGATGGAGACAGTTGGACACAGATGAAGACAGCTGGATGAGTTTGTGACCTTTTCTCAAATTCATTTCAAAGGTCAGAAACATCAGAACAGATTTTTCTTCTCTGGAGCTCAAACTGAAACTGTGAATCTTTAATGAACCACACGTGTTTTTGTTCTCATAAAGAGAAAAAGACTTTTTCATGCATTATTGGCACCAGGTGACGTCTCCCTCCTCCAGCTTCTTCTTTCAGTCCGGTTCTTTAAAGCCCGCTGTAGCTGTGAGGAACAAACAGAGCAGCATCCTCTCACCTTGAAAACAAACATCTCCCCCCTGAAGAAGGCCACAGTGTTGAAGTTTCCATCGCAGATGCTGGGTTTGCCGTTTCCGGGCAGAGCGGGTCTGTCGCCAGGTGGACGCGCCGGGTGGGAGTGCCGGTTGTATTTGCGCTCCGCGGTTGCGTGGGTTCGCCAAAAAGGCATGGTGGGTAATGGTCGTGTAGGTTCCAGCATGACTGTGGGGATGCCTGGTGGGGGGACAGAATGTGGACAGGAGTTAATTCACTGAAGAAGCTGCAGAGACATCAATGGGGTCGTGACCTTTTGGCTATTTTTCATTTTTGCCTTACATTTCTATACGTTTACAGATTTTACTGTCAAATTGATTTCTGCATTAGAATCAGGGAGACAAAAACCCTGATGACTCTCAGGAGGGAGGGGAGGGAGACAAAGACCTTAATGACCCTCAGGAGGGAGGGGAGGGAGGGAGACAAAGACCCTTATGACCTTCTGGAGGGAAGGGAGAGTGACAAAGACTGTAATGACCCTCAGGAGGGAGGGGAGGGGGACAAAGACCCTTATGACCTTCTGGAGGGAGGGGAGGGAGGCAAAGACCCTTATGACCCTCAGGAGGGAGGGGAGGGTGGCAAATACCATAATGACTCTCAAGAGGGAGAGGAGGGTGACAAAGACCCTAATGACCCTCAAGGGGGAGGGGGACAAAGACCCTTATGACCCTCAGGAGGGAAAGGAGGGAGAAAAAGACCCTTATGACCCTCAGGAGAGAGGGGAGGAAGACAAGACCCTAATAACCCTCAGGAGGGAGTGAGGGGGACAAAGACCATTATGACCTTCAGTAGGGAGAGGAGGGAGACAAAGACCCTAATCATCCTCAAGAGGGAGGGGAGGGTGACAAAGACCATAATGACCCTCAGTAGGGAGGGTAGGAGATTAATCTGCATGTAATTTTCTGAAACATATAAAGCTTCTCTTACGATTTAAAAAGCCTGGAACTTCAGCTCTGCAGTTTTAAATTTAGATATAAAACATCTTAAACTAAAGAATATGTTTACATATTTTTATTTTTTATTTTGGAGATTTGCCATGATCTGGGTGACTGTGCCACATCTTTTCCTCTCTTCAAACGAGACAGAACAGAGTAAAATTTTTAGTGAAAAAGCTTTCCTTTCAAAATAAAACTCAGCAGCGTTCAATATCGTTTTTTATCATCTTACACCATAATCGGTCACCTGGTTGTCGGCATCATGATTAAATGATTCCAACCACCGCCCCAGAGACAGAATATTTCTACGGTTGTATTTTTGTCGACGTCTCTTTGACGTCAGCAGCTTCAGGGTGAAGATAAACCGTCTTTAAAGCTGCTCGGTGATGTTTTCAGGCTGCGGAGCTTCAGCAGACATCATGAAGTCCTAACAGGCTCGGCTGGTTCCCCACACAGAACACCGAGGGCACGGTTGACCTCACGCTTTGCCAGACTCAAATGTCAGCCGTGCATCATGACCTTTAATGTGAGGGCGGCTCTTTGCTCTGACGGACACTGATGTCGAGCAGAGAAGGAGCTCAGAGTCAGGACGACGAGGATGGAAGTATTCCTGAAGAGCAGCTTATCTCCGACCCAGCAGACGGTTCTGGTTCTCCTCTTTGTGTCGTGGCATCACAAACAAACCTTACACAACGTGCCTTCAGAAGCAGCGTCGTTGTTTCTCTCCGCTCAGACAGAAAGCCTGACAGGAAACGTGTCTCTCTTTGTTCAGATGATTGAAACATGAAACACCGTTCTTCTTCTGCAACAGAACAAAGCGTCTCTGGTGTAAAAAAACAAAAAACATTTTAATTGTCCGCTCTGCAGGCAGAGACTGCTCCTGAATATTCTGCAGGAACCAGCGGAGCTCCAGGATGAATCTTTTATATTCGAGCTGCTGCTTTTCGTTTTGATCGTTTTTGCTTTTAGGTTCTGAGTGAAGTCTCGTGTTTGAGCCGAGTTCAAATCGTGTGCCAAACTTAGGATTTCTGTTTACGTCGTTCAGATTTCATTTTGAGCTTTCAGTCTGTGTAAAACTCCTGATCCAGCCCATGTTTGTCTGTTAGTAAAATATTTCATGAACCACTGAATGGACTTTAACGATTATTGAACCTACAGCTAAAAGTGTTTTTGACGTTTTGAGTCAATTTTATTCAAAATTGCCACCAGCAAATGACCTCAGCTAACTCAAGCATGGCTCTAACTGGGCCAGATTTACAGATACTGAGCTAAAGCTTGGCCTGGTAGTAGCTGAGAGTCATCCCCAAAACTCTGAGCTGAGTGAGTTTGGGCAACACGATATTTTCAGAATTCGATCCAAACAGCTAAAACTCTTTTACTTCTCATCATGAGATGATCTCAGATCTGGCTCCTGCAGCTGGAGGTGATAAAAACAGGACTAAATAGCTGCTCCTATCTGGCAACCCAATTTCAAATCACTGTCCGTTAAAAAGACAAATCAGAAACAGCAGCAGCAGGAGATCAACAAGGGGAGGTTCAACTGGGACCAGAAACCATCACGTCTGTTTCCTGACATTAAAATTTAAAAACTTTAGGGAGATCCAGTCTTTGATGTAAAGACGAGAAGAGGTTTAACTGAGGGGACATCTTTCTTTTTCATTCATAAATATCTGAGTGTCATCAGCGTAACAAAGAAAAAAGAGCCGGTGTTTCCTGAGCCCAACGGGAGCAGGAACAGTGACAAAAGCAGGGGACCTAAGAGAGAATGGTTGTTTAAGTTTAAGGGTCTAAAAGATGTACGAAAAACACAATTTCAAAACCTCAAATATACGATAGCTTTGATCAAAGTACAATGATTTTAAGGGCAGCACGGTGGTGCAACTGGTAGAGCTGCTGCCTCTCAGCGAGCAGGTCCTTGGTTCAAACCCCGGTCCAGGGGCCTTCTGGGTGGAGTTTGCATGTTCTCTTCGTGCATGCGTGGGTTTTCTCCGGGTGCTCCGGTTTCCTCCCACAGACCAAAAACATGCATGTTAGACTGATTGGTAACTCTAAATTGTCCCTAGGTGTGAGTGAGAGAGTGAATGGTTGTTTGTCTCATTTGTCTCTATGTGTCCCTGTGATGGACTTGCGACCCGTCCAGGGTGTACCCCGCCCCTCGTACAGTGATTGCTGGACATGGGCACCAGCGACCCCCGTGACCCAAAATGGAATAAACGGGTAAAGATAATGGATGGATGGATGGATGGATGGATGGATGGATGGATGGACAATCATTTTAAAGCAACAGTACAATATTAGGTCATTTTTATCTGGCAACCCAGTAAGAGCATCTCGATTGTCGCGTCCTCACCGTAGATCTTCTGGATGCCCTGCAGGTCGTCCAGAGGCAGCTTGAAGTTGTGTGTGTCCATGTACTGGTAGAACGGAGCCATGATGGCACTGGGATCGTTGGAGTGCTCCAAACCCAGCGCGTGGCCCAACTCGTGGACCGCCACCAGGAACAAATCGTTTCCTGCGCAGACAGAACGGACGAGAAACGATGAATCAAGCGACGAGTCCTTTGTGCTGCTCACAGAACTCGAGTGCTGCTCTACGGTCGTCTGCAAACAAGTCAGCATCTAACCTGAAACTGGAGAGAGCAACAGCTGACGAGACGTAGCAAAAACAAACAAACAAACAACAAATAAATAATGCAAAGTTAACAAAATAAGAGCTGCAGAGACAGATACTGTCTCCAAGGCCGTCCATCCATCATTCATCCATCATCCATCCATTAATCATCTATCCATTAATCATCTATCCATCTAGTCATCCATCATCATCCATCATCCATCCATCCATCCATCATCCCCCCTTCCTCCAGACTTTGCAACATTAATCTGTATCTATGGAAACAGCTTCCAGCCGTTGTTGAATTGTGTGTGCGGGGAGCGTTGTTGTGTGAAAACATTAATTCAGCTGCAGTTTGGTGTCTCTTTAGTTTCATTGAACATTCAGGGAACTTCTGTTTTGTGAACAAAGAGATAAACGTTTAGAGTAATTATTATTTTAAAATAAATAAAAATAAATAATTTTACAAATAAACCCCCCTCCCAACAGGTTAATGATGAAAAAGTTCAATTTTATCCAGATGTGTGAAATAAATCCACTTCCTGCTGGACGTCTTGGTGAGGTACTTTAATCCAACCATGAAGGAGAATAAATTTGACTGAATGTCTCGTGTTCACGTGGGATTAGTTCATCTGCTGCAGAGCTGCTGTCAGATACTTAACGACTTCTTAAGAGTCTAAATGAACACGTTCGGCTGCTTCTGTAATTGGTTTGACTCTTCCTGAACTTAATTAGAGAACAGAGTAATCTTTCCTGTTTGAGGATTACAGATTCCTGGGCGTCCAGCGGCTGGTTCACTCTCAGTTTGTCTCTCTGAAGCGGACCACGCTGAGGTCGCTGCTTTTGTGTTTTCATCTGTCGGCCTTAATCCAGAAGAAGAGAAAACAACATCTGATCTCATAAAACCTTTATCAATTTATTTATTAAGTTTATAAGTGAAGTTTATTGCAGTTTTGTCCTGCAGGTGACATCAGGTTAATGAGACGCCGTCTTCTGACTGATGGGACAACACGAGGTTTGTCCTCACTGCGTCCTTCTGGAGCTGACACCAGGAATTAGTTTTCACCCAATCTGAGAAGTTTCCGCGTCATATCTCCGCTCTAATCTTTCAATTAAGCCGTATGTGTGTGTGTCTCTGTGTGTGTGTGAATAGAACAAGGACTCCTTCGAGAAATGCTTGTCACCCGCCAGTGTTCTTGTCACCATTTTAAATAAAGACGTCACATGGTCTGTCAGCGCTCACTGTGCATGTTGGAGACGACTCTCAGCTACTACCTCACAAAATGTTAGTTCAGTATCTGTAAACTAGATGAGCTATTGCTAAGGGTGATTAGCTGCGGCGGCCATCTTGAATTGTATTGACTCTTGAGAGTTAAGCAGATGTTTGATCATTTAAATCTTTCTCAGAGTTGCTTCACTTTATCCACTGTTTCATGAGATATTTTGCTAACACACACACACACTAACGTTTTGTTTCTGCTGATGTGTGATAATAAAACAGCATAAACACCAACGAGCTGAAGAAAACTCCTGCGACTCTGATGAATGTGTTTTGTGTTAATCTGTCGTTTCGTCTCGAAACGTTCTTTATTGCAGCAGAACCGCCGTGACGCGAGAAAAACGTTTTTCATCCAAAACCCAAACAGAGAGGAGGTGGTCTGATGTTCAGAAACCTAACGAGATGGTTCTTCTGCTTCGTTAAAGGGTTTACAAGAACCTGAGCCCAGAACCAGACCAGACCCCGCTCACCGTCGTGGTTGGCGTTCCCGAGCGTCCACGGCTCGTCCAGGTCAAAGTGAGTGTCTCCTCCGATGCCAGAGCCCGGGAAGTAGGCGTGGGCCAGGAAGCCGCCCTCGCCATCGAACGGGGAGCTGTCGCCATGGAAACCAGAGGCGAAGTAGATCATGATGTCCGCCTCCTTCCCCTCGTTCCTCATCTCTGAGTACGGCACCTCCTGAGGGACACGAGACGGGTCAGAACTCAGATGGACGTGTTGCAGATCAGCAGGAAACCACCGCTCTGTCCCTCCGCGGCTGCGGATAATTACTGGATTTATGCTTTAATGCTTGTTTGTTTGTTTGTTTATATTTGGTACAAAACAAAAGCAACGTGAGTGATTGTTGAGGAAGCTGCAGAGATCCACTCTGACCTGGAAGGAGAGCGGCGTGACGACCTGCCAAACGTTGAAGGCCTGTCGGATCGCCCTGTGGGTGTCCTTCTCTCCAACCTTAGGGGTGTAGTTAGATATGCTGTGGAAACAAACAAACAAACAAACAAACAGTTATTACAGCGGCCTGTTTGTTTGGACATGCGCAGAGTTTAAACTTTACAAATACAAAGGTCGCCCTCAGCGAGCGTTACAGCGATGACTCTCAGCTACTACCCCACCGAGCTTTAGCTCCACGTCAGTTGACTGTTAGACATGTTCGTTAGCTGTGGCAGCCATCTTGAATCCAGTTGACACCAAAGGTAATTAGTTGTTCAATTCCCAAGAGTTTTATTCGGTTCACTGCTTCATGAGATATTTTGCTAACACACGCACACAGAAGTTAAACGGAAGGAACGTATTTTTTCTGAAACGGCGCAGAAGGCTCAGTTCAAAGTTAGAACTCAAAGTTCTTGTTGTAGCAGCAGAACGAGGCAGAAAAGTGTTACGGTTTGAAACCGAGCCCAGGAAGACAAAGGAGTAAACAAAAACAGAGTTCATCTGCTCCTCGGGTTCAGGAAATAAACCGTGGAAATAAAAAGCAACACAGGAGAGCCGAACAGAACCGTCTGCAGAGGTTCTAACGGATCCAAACCGGGCTGGAACCGTCCAGTCTAAATGAGACGCTAATGATGAAAAGGAGCTAATTTTAGCTCGTTGAATATTTCAGCTGCAGGATGAGAAAAATAAAAACAGCAGCCGAATCCCTCGTCATCAGCAGGAGTGGGGCTGCAGCTCAGACACCGGCGTGTCTTTACGCCCACAAACATCTGTCTCTGCAGCTGGACGTCCACAGACTGCAGCAGACAGCTGGAACCTCCAGAATAAACAGATCACAGCATGTCTGCCTGCTGAACAGCTACATATAACCCTAATAATTGATTTACATTATCACCCCGAATAAATCGCCGTCCACAGATTCGACCTTCAGAGGAAAACGTTTAATTTAGTCTAAAAGTTTCAAACTCGCTCCAGAACTCCATCAAAACGTGTGAAAACTGTTTTCAGGAAGGATGAAAACTCAGGTTTTACTCAAAGTTTCATTCAAATCTGTCCAGAGCTTCAAGAGATATTTTGCTAACACAGGCATGTTTGCCCATATTTGACATCAGCAGGTGATAATTGTTCTCCTGTTTCCTTTCAGGTGGAGTTTCACGTCAAAAACCTTGAGATTTCACCATCACCCGCCATCTTAACCAAAACAACTTCACATTAGCCAGTTTTACACATGAGCTAAAACTTGGTGGTAGTAGCTGAGAGTCACTCCCACCACAGACTCTGAGGGCTAACTGATCACACGTAATCTTTGTTTTACGCTGTAAACTCAAGCTGGCGGGCGATATGCATTCCTTCTGGTCTCTGTATTTTTGGGCCACAACATGTTGGTGATGCATTCACGGGTTCTGCTGCAGCGGAGCCTGAGCGGTCCAGACGGTTCCTCTCCAGAGGAACCATCACTTACAACACAACACAAGACGGAACAAACTCCCAATGTTACTTTTATTAAAAGAAGAAACAATAATTTTAATCATATGTTTTGTTTGTTTTGGGCAGCACGGTGGAACAACTGGTAGAGCTGCTGCCTCTCAGCGAGCAGGTCCCCGGTTCAAATCCCAGTCCGGGGGCCTTTCTGGGTGGAGTTTGCATGTTCTCTCTGTGCATGCGTGGGTTTTCTCCAGGTGCTCCAGTTTCCTCCCACATACCAACAACATGCATGTTAGACTGATGGTGACTCTGAATTGTCTCTAGGTGAGAGAGTGAATGGTTGTTTGTCTCCATGTGTCCCTGTGATGGACTGGAAACCTGTCCAGGGTGTCCCCCGCCCCTCGAAAAGTGATGGCTGGACATGGGCACCGGCGACCCCCGTGACCCAAAAAAGGAAGAAGTGGGTAAAAGATAATGTATGGATGTATGTTTTGTTTTTAATAAACAACTTTTGTGTCTTTATTCTGACACACAAAATACACACGCGTTTGCTAAAGCAGCACTCAGGCCTGATGCATTCATGGTCCTGTGGGAAATCTCTAATCTGCATTAGTGCTACATTACAGAACTGAGCTGAGAGATTTATTGTCTGCATGAGGGAGGGCGGGGCTAATGCACCAGATGCATTCAGGTGCCCTGGGACACTGCTAATTTCCATCAGACTAAATTCAGACTGAGGCGAGGAGGAGGAAGATGGAGGCAGGGTGGAGTACCTGTAGGAGATCTTTTTATCTCTCCACTTCTGCCCCGTCAGGGTGTAGCGTTTGTTCCTCAGCCGGCGGCTGGTGTGAGGCTGATCCGGGACGCCGCAGCGGGGTCTCCTCATCCACCTAAACACAACACACATCAAGAATCCTGAAAAAATGACTGGAGCTTGAATGCACCACCACACAGGTTTCTCTGTTTGTTTATCATTAAAATAAACAAAAACAAACACAGATTCTTTATTCCAGGAGCTTTTTACACATTTATCACGATAAGAAAATACAAACAGTTTTAACGTGAAGGATTTTATTTTCCAAACTGAAGTTTTGTAAATTTATTTTTTGATAAAACTCTGTTGTTAACCAGTAGGGTTTAAGGTTAGAAAAGATGTTTGGATCATAAGGAACAGGATGTCCTTCACCACAACAGACTGGAGCAATAGCCTCATTACTACAGATGAAGCCCCGATCTGTTGGTCCATCTCCTGCTCCATCAGGACCGAGACTGTTTTTATTTTATTTTATTTTTTTCTAAAAATACAAACTCAGCCGGCGACTCACTCTATCGTCTTCTCGTCCAGGATCCCCGTCACCGGAATCCCGTAGAAACGCTGCATGGCGACGACGGCCGACTGCATGGCCTTCTCCTGTCGCAGGTCTGACGTTTGGACGTCCTGAGGCAGCAGGTAGCCGTAGTTCTTCAGCCACGTCTGCGAGCAGAAGCAGGGAGACAAACGAAGCAAAGATCAGCTCCTGAGCTTCAAACTGACAACAAACCCCCCCAGAACAACCAGTCGCTCCAGAGCTTCATGTAAACAAACACTGAATCTGAAACTTTTAGAGTCAAACTGGAATCAGGCTTCTGAGACTTGTGGTACCAGAACCAGACTGAGGACCAGTCTGGACTAAGATTCATCATTTTAAGGTCACCATCCATCCATCCATCCATCCATCCATCCATCCATCCATCCATCAGTGGGACATGCTCAGAAAACCTCTAAAGGGAGGCGTCATCCTAATCAGATGCCTGAACAACCTCATCTGACTCCTTTCAGTGCGGAGGAGCAGCGGTGTACTCTGAACTCCGTCCTCACCAGAAGCACAAACACCAGCCAGAACCTTCCCTCCTGCAGCCTGAAGCTGCAGAGACAACCCTCTCGTTCACCGGGGAAACCTCCAACAGTGAAGCTTTCAGCCGGGGGCTGCAGTGTCCCCACGCCCGCCCGATGCCTCTCTCCCTGGACAACTCTGGAGTAGGAGCGAGTCCAGCCTCTCTGCAGGAGTTGGGTTGCAGAGCCCAGTTAAATTCTTATTTAATATCCTCCTATAAACCCTGAAACAACCGTACGGTAGAAGAGTGAAACACGCTCTGGATGAGATTTAACTGAATCTGACAGTTTTTCCTCCTGAATCCCAGAAAATCTGATTCACCTGGACCCAAAAACTGATTCCAGATCCACAGATTTTTCATTTTAAAGTCGTTATGAAAGGACCAGAACCACCTCAGGACCCTCTGAGAGCTGAAAAAGATGAAGAAGCAGCAGAGATGAGATGAAGCGATGAAGAGGAGGAGGAAGACTGAGCTTGTCTCATCAGTGGCTCATCAATAATTCAGAGCCGGGCCCAGAAACCAGAAACGAGCCAAACGTTTGCTTCAAACGGGCTGGACCCGAACCCAGAGGGAGACCAGGCACATCGGCAGATCAAAGCTGAAATATTTAAATTTAAAGCAAACTGGTGAAATAAAAACTAATTTACTAACTAACTTATTTGGAATAAATAATCCAGATGAATCCAAATGTGGACGCCGAGGACTGGAATACAGGACTCATTTTCAGAACTGGAGTTTCAGGCCTCAGACTGGTCCACTTTAGATCTCAACCTATTATTATTAAATTCATGTTATTATTAAAAGATATGCTCTTAAGAACAAATTTAACCAAATGTCTTCCTGTGAATTATTTCATTCAACCCTTAAAAAATATTCCACGAGGTTCGACTCAACAAACATGTTCAGAAACTCCAACAGAACCCAACCTGTTCTGCTCAGTCGCCTGAGTCTCAGCGGAGATCTACTGCGATGCCATAAAAACAAACGTCCATGAAATGAAGTTTGACGTGGTGTAAAATAAAACCTGTCACGTGCACGCCCTCGCCCAGAGGGACCTCTCCTCATCGCAGCAGAACAACGTCCTTCAGGGGTTTTATCAGCTTTTAGGATGTGGAGACAAATCAAACACGCAGCACCGATTCAATAAAATCCTTAAAATTCTTCTCAGATACGCAGAAAACTTAGACAGAAGTGACACGATGTTAAAAAAGAACATATTAATTTTACTAAATTAAAAGCTGGCTGCTGCGTTTGCAAATATAAAGTCTCACACAGTGGAGGTCCTGATCCAGAAGTTCTGAACCGGACCGGTTTACTGTCAACTGTGAGGATGGAGATGAAATGAAGAGTCCTGTGTGTCGTTTCTCTGCCTGCGGGCAGACGGTAAAGACCAGCCAGGCCTCCTCCTGAATGTTCCCGGCAGAACGTCTGAATCCTTCCTCTCATGTTTCAGATAAATCCCTCCAGCTGCCGTTATTTAATCAAGTCCCGCCGCTTCACACCCAGCCGGACCTCTGCAGTCCACCCGCATGACTTGAACATTTCTCCTAACGTCAGTTCATCCTGAGAATCTGTGATCGTGTAAGAAGAGTTAAAGATGTGGAACCAGCAGCTCAGTGAAGGAAAGTCCACCTTCCTGTGGTCCGTTTAGGCTCTGAAGGATGGTTCTGCTGGGAGGTCTGAGCTGGAGGTCTTCTTCTGAACACACCTGGAGTGTATGGGCGGATAGTTTTACAGTTTTTACTCATTTTGTTCGGACGTTTCTTAAAGTCAGAGCTCGTCGTTGTTTTCCAAAGCTGTGGGACCACCGGGTCCAAACAGAGTTCAGTTCTGCAGGTCACACCTGCAGAACTGAATCTGCAGCCCAGGACTTCAGACCTGATCTGACGCACTGAAATGTCTGACGTTTTAAAACATGTCTGCTGTGGAAAACAAGTGACCCTTCACTACTTGTGCAGCTGCATCACCTTCTTCTACAGGGAGCACGAACATCACGGGTGCAGCCGGAACACGACCCGGTCAGAGGAACACCTGGTGGGACTGAACGAGTCCCAGCTGAGTTCAGGTCCGTGGTGTTAAAGCTCGTCTACCATCGGCCCGATCGATGCTGCCAGGATGTGTCTGCAGCTCAAACACAATTCATCTCCACAAACCATCTGATCAAACTCCAAGCCTTCACGTCTCAAACTCCTCGTTTCTTCAGCTTTGACTTCCAGGCAGCTGGACCGTTTGATCATCTTTAATAAAAGTGGCCTCAGCTGAAACGCTTCACTCGTTTAGAAGAACATTTGTTCTGAGTTCTGGATCCCCTCCAAACTGTGCAGAGAGCCGCTGCAGCGATGACACCGTGGACCTTGAAGATCACAGTCAAATGTTCTGCTCAGATATTTATTTGTCTGTCGTCGTGAATCACAGCGAACACTCCGGTGCCGACAGAAGGAAATCTTTACCAGAGCTGCCTCTTCAATTATTCAAAACCTTTCAGGCATCGACGTGTGCCGCTCATTTCTGCCGGCAGGTGATTTAATCCAGCTTAAAGTTTTAATCCAGTTTCTGTTCACACTGGACTCACTGAAGGACCAGCAGAACCCTGATCAGTCTGCTCGGAGTCGTGGACAAAGAAATGAAAAACTAAAGCCACAAAGTGACGTCGTCAACACAAAACCACTGCGTTATTTAGAGACACAATGAAAACACAAACGTTTTCATTTGAATCACACTAAACAACAAAATGTCACAACGTCTGGACCTAATCTGAGCAAGATATCGCCAAATACAACAGCAGAGCTGCAGAAACTAAATGAAGAAGAGTTTGAGACGTGCGGGACTATTTCAAGACTGTTTTTTAACATGAAATAAAAAAACACCTGAAATGAACAAACAATAATTACAGCTTCACTTCTTTGATGAGACTCTTGATAAAATGCAGGATTTTCCTTCACCGCAAGAACAAAAGTCCGTTTTTAAAACCAACTTCAGAGATGAAACCACGGACCTGCAGAGATGTCAAACTTCACGCTGGACACGTGCGACTGTTTTCACCTTCAACATACCTCACGTCTCAAAGAGGCAGCGGATTAGAGCGAGTGGCTGCAGGACCATGTCACCAGCTGCAGGCTCACATGAAACATCTCGGTGAGAAATGGGTTCTTCTTCCTGCTCAGATCACACACGACCCTTCAGCTCTGCCCCGAGTTCATCATTAGAACTTCGCTCACATCTCCATCCTGGTCCATCAACTGCTGCAAAACACAACTCTGGGCTACAGAGGGACCTGAGGTCCTGAACTCTGTGGGGAGACTGAAAGAACCAGATCCTGGATCCAGGAGGGCTAAAGGAGTTCTCTCTGCAGGGTGGCTGAACTCTCCTTGGAGATCGGGTGAGAAGTTCAGTTCTGCAGGAGAGACTCGGAGTAGAACCACTTCTCCTCCACATCCAGAGGAGACAACTGAGGAGGTTCAGACATCTGGTCAGGATGGACCTGGACGCCTCCTTAGGGAGGGGTTCTGGACATGTCCAACTGAGAAAACTGCAGGAAAGAGCCAGGACACTCTGGAGAGACTATGTCTCTCAGCTGAACAGGGAACGCCTTGGAGACCTCCTGAAAGAGCTGGAAGAGGTGGCTGGACCTCCATGATCAAGATGCTGACCCCTCCCTCCCCAGATCTGAGTCCAGAACCAGATGGACGATGGAAGGAAGGATGGATGGATGATGGATGGATGGATGATTGATGGATGGATGATGGATGGATGATGGATGGATG